GAGGAAATCTTGCTTGACGTCAACAAATTGGCGGAAGGCCACACGCAATTCAGGGTCGAAAAGGTCAAAGTGAGTCCTGACCACAAGTTGCTCGCGTACTCGGTGGACTTAACGGGCTTCGAAACGTACGACGTTTTTATCAAGGTACACACGACTTGTTGCTCCATTGGGCACAAATTGTAACAGACATTGATGTGCCTGACATTCCGATTCACACAACTTGCCACTATTTATAGATATATCCACCAGCTAGTGGATGCTTCTTTCTATATTTTGCACTTTTATGTTTAATTTGGATCTTTTAATTCAGGATTTGACCACCAACACCATAACCAAGGCTGTGGAAGGGTGCGATGGCACGATCGAGTGGGGTTGGGACGCTGAGACTCTGTTTTATGTGACGCCGGACGCCACCAGCCGCAGACACAAGGTGTGGTCGCATCTGGTGGGCGCTCCGAAGTCGGCTGACACGAGTGTTCTGTAGCGTGCAGAGCAATTGGGTCGCGCGTTAGTTTTGCCCATTGCTAACACACACACTCTGTGTGTGTGGCGTGTTTAACCTCACTAATGTCAGTGTGTATATTTGCTGCCTTGACGAAGGCTCCGTGGCCGAAAGCCAAGCAGAAGCGGGAGACAAAACAAAGATATGTTGATCTATTCACTGGAGATGGTACGAGAACATTCCTACGACGAGGAAACGCCAACAAACGCCGAAGAACGATCGCGGTCGCGTGACCGGATCGAGGGGCCGCGAGGACGCGCCGCTCGTCGCACCGTTGAGAACCCGTTCAGATCTCCCCGACGATGACAGCCACCTGCTGTTGACGAGTGGCAACCGCCACGTGGTGGGTTTTACACCCCCGCCACAACCCGAGGAACACCAGCTGTCGCAGCGTTTGTCTCAGCTGCTGCTCCACCAACGACTGAAGCAGATGGCGCTTCAGTGCCGTTGCCAGCCGACAACGACCCGTCGGACGTCCGTGACGATACGGACATGGGCAGCGATGGCGGTTACGGCCGTACGGCGCCGCAAGTTTGGAACGCGCCGGCGCTCCCGCAGCCGCCAACATTTTCGGGCTCGACCAAGGCCGAAAGAGGCAATTTTATGCGCGAGTACCAGAAGTATCTGGGGCAGATCAACGCTCTGCAGTTGTAGGGAGTTGATAACGCAGAGGAAA